ACCGGCCAGGAGTTAGGGTTTAGGGTTTAGGGTTTAGGGTTTAGGGCTTAGGGTTTAGGGTTTAGGGTTTAGGGTTTAGGGTTTAGGGTTTAGGGTTTAGGGTTTAGGGTTTAGGGTTTAGGGTTTAGGTTTTTTCAAAGTGACTGGTTACGAGTTTTATGAATGTCTCATATTTCAAAACCGAAGGTTCGTCCGGTGCCAGCCAGTGTCCGCACTGTCAGCAATGCGCACAGTCACCGTCACGCAGCCCGCGGCCGCAGCCACAGGTTGCACTTTACCGCTAAAGGCTAAGTCTAAGGCTAAGGACACCAACCATGTCTCAGGCATCAAACTTGAGCTTAAGGTGTTGAACAGTTTCAGGAATTCAGGGCCTGATAGTTGATACGTCTTGTATTTACCTCCGCCACCGCACAACGCGATGCAACTGAACTTGGGTGATTGTGGGTTAATACATAGCGACTTCTGCATTGCTGAAAGAATACACGGTCAGTCTAGTATGTTACACCTTCTTGACCTCTTGAATAACTACGCCTTCAGTTCCCCGGTCAGCAGCAACTTCAGGTCCGAAATGGTGAACGGCGAGATAAGTTACAACGAAGGCCCGGAAACATACGTAGTCTGATGTCATGTCAAATCATGCCTGGGGCTCAGATCCTACAGCCTACAACCTGAGCCAAGCAAGGGTTGCAAAAGCCTGGAATGAACTGCAAATGAGGATACTGGGACCGGTCGCAAAACAAACCTACCCCGTTGCCGAGAGCACAAGGTCTTTGCCAGGAGCCAAGAATTGCAACAGACTCAGTGACTCAGAATCCTAGAACTGCTAATCGTTCCTCTAGGAGCTGGTCCACATCTCCGAGCGCAGCATCATCCATAGGGACATCGACGTGCACATGTCGAATGCGAAGCTGTTCTGCTGTCTCGCCTAGCAGCTGAGGGCTGAGGACTCGCTAATGAGCATCAGAAGCAATCGGAGAACTCCAGCTGGATTATCCTTTGGACTTTGCAAGCTCGAACCATCAGCCTGAAACGCATCCCCAAAGTCATGTTCTCATGGCACGGGCACAGGTGGCACAAATCTTGGCGAGCCCTCTGCCAAAGTCGCAAACATGTTACACTTGTCAACCTAGGAACCCTAAATCCTAAGTGTGCAGAAACCGATTGAAGGTCGACCAAAGCCAGGCAAGACCCGGTCCGATGGCCTGTGTGCTGCACAAGATTGCAGCCTGGCAGCTCAACATCAGTTACGCAACCCACATGCAAACAGACAAAAACGCGCACACACGTTTGTACTCAACCCTGCTGTTCACCCTGAACTTTCCAAACCGCAAGTCCCCGGTACCCCCAGGCCCATGATCCCAGGCCTGCAAGGAGCCAGTATTTGATTCTCAGCAGAGCCACTCGAGGATCTGGTTGATTTTGTTGAATGCTCTTTCGGCACAGTTTCTTAACTTTTTGGCCTTTATCGTTGACATAGGTGTGGGTGTGAAGTGGGCACTCCACCAAATAGGATGGCACCTAGCAGGGGCTGTCAGCTGTCACAGTAGGAACAATACCAGGCTACTGGTGAGGACCGGGTATAGTATCTATCGCCATATGCAGATCGACCTCAGGCTTCGGGACATACGGAAACTATTTGGTGATTACATAATTTAATTGGTGGGGCATACAAGGCCTTCTTGTCATGTCGAACCACGATTGGGATCGCTCTGACAAAGACTGTGGATTCGTTGAAGATCGAAGTTGAAAACACACGGTGCGGATTCCTAACTGCAGGCGCTGGCGTTGATCCTCTGGGTTCAGGTGGCACGGCTGCCACCGCTAGCGAAGATGCTGCAATCGCGTGCCCCGCAGACTGACCCGAAAGGAAACTAGCTTCCCGCGCAGGCACAGAAGCAGCCAAAGCGACAGCCTCTGCTGCCTCAGTATCCTTTGCCTCGGCAGCTTCAAGACTGCTCGCAACCTTCCCAATTGTACAACCTGTTGCGCAGACAAAACCATGTCTATGTCGTCTATGTGCGACAGCTAGACCAAGGGTCACGCAACATAGGATGATCTTCCACGCCACAGAACATACCCACACCGTCCATACCCACCAAGCCACCCACCCACCCACCCACCCAC